TAACACAGTTTAGCAACACCTGGCCACCTGTCACGTGTCAATCGCTGCAGTCAAGACTCCGCACAACCCGGGTCGGGAAGCACAAAATTTCCTCGATGACATTGAGGAAGTCAGGATGTGACATCACCTCCCTCATGGTTGAATCGTTGACACCGCTGTCACGTGAGAAAAACTCATGTGACCTCAGTCAATGCAAATGGCATGTGACATAAAACATTGAAATTTGAAATATGTGACATCTTACGTGCGCAAACTCAAATGCAAGCGGGTGGCATTCTGGACGTGTGCAACAAGTGCGCAAGGCGGTGTTCCCAACGGTCGCACTCCTTGAAGCCGAGGGACAAATCCATATCAGCCACCGTGTGGATATGGGAAGAGTTGATCGTGCAGCCAATCTGGCACATGGCAAAATGATCTAAGAGTTCTGTATATGAAAACGCACATTCAAAGACTCAAAGATGAAACACTCAGACTTAGCAACATCCCCAGCATGAGGCACTTGTCACTTGTGCCATATGCCACAACCAGGATGGGTTGCGAGGACCAGGCCACTGAGGTGCCTTTTGGCGTGACGACGGTTTTGGTCTCCCACGCCTTGCCCCAGTCCACCTCAGCAGCAAAGTATGACAATGGTGTGACAAATGACACATGACAAATCAGTTGACGCGCAAGCCAAAATTTGAAACATCAGTCGAGACGCAGTGCTGGGATCTGGCCATGGGCTCTTTGGCACTGGGACATGGCGATTGGCAAATGCAGCAGGAATGTGACTATCGTCAACCTGAGGTGGTACATCATTCCAATAGTCCTCATCCCATATGCTACTTGGATGGGCCGGCTTGTCGGAGGGTGGCTGCGGCTGTGTCACACCTCAGCTGCTAAAAGACACGACAAGCAAGGAGCCACATGTCATTTTACAATAATAATAAGTAATAGGTGACACAGCGACACACACACAGCACATGATTTATTCCAGGAGTCTGTCTGAGTGCATTCTCAACACCCTTCAAAATGTAGCCAGACTTGTCAGTTGGATCAGCTCTCTTGAAGGCAGCCCTTGGCAAGGCGAAAATTCAAAAACAATTAATGAATTGTGAGCATGAGCCGGTTCAGATGTCCACAGCGCTGCCAAGACACACCAAATTCACAGCAGCCTTTTTATCTGCCAAATGAAGCAAATAAAGTGCCTGAGATCAAGAGGGTTGAGCAAGTGACACATGATTCAAACATGACACATGACACATGACAAATGGTCAAGGGGGTTAAACTTCGGCAAAGGCACCCACACGCACTTCCTGAATTCAATCAAGTTCATGCTCGCAAACACAACCCGAACACAGTCACAAAAGCACCCAGTGCAATCGAGCATCTTCTCCGTGCACACGGAGGTGTCAATCCCCTCCTCCTCCAGGATCTCTTCAGCACGCGATGGCTGATCGTACTCGTCCATTCACGATGGCAATTGTAATAATATGAAATATGTGACATGTGACTTGGCATGTGACATGTGTTGGAGTCTGTGATGATTTCTGTGACTGTGACGCCTCATGTGTCAACTTGATCCAAGAATATCATTGAAAGGCAGCTCAACTGTCAACTGTCACCATGACACATGTTTCTCACTTGTCACATGTTTGCAAGTTTAAAATGCTTGACAAGTGATTGCACAAAATGACTCGATCTCAATCTCACCTTCTCTGACATAGTCCTTGAAGAAAGCACCCAAATGTCGGACCTCAACAGTGTGACATGTGGCATGTGACAATGTCAATTGAATGAAACACTCTCGAATCTACCACTAATGCAATCTTCTGACTGACTCTTTCATTGTCAAGTGACAAGTGGCTCTAAAATAATAAGACTCGAATCAGAATGCGTGAAACTGAGGCATATGGCATATGGCATGTGATCCTGGGCAGCTGACCAAGCCATGAAGACAGCCTCAAGTCAAACGGAGCCGACGATTTCAACAGGAAACATAACTTCACATGACACATGACACTGACAATTCATGCAATGGCAAATGAATGACTCTAATTCTGATTAAAAATTATGTCCTACCCCCCCTCTCACTGTGGACCGCACCAAATCCTGACAGACAAACTCCTGATGTCAGGAGTTTGTCTGTCAGGTTCCACCTATCACGTGATTTTAATTTGAGCCGAAATTCTACAGTAAAGGGCGAGCTGTTGATAGGTAAAAAGATTGCAGAAATACAAAAATAAAAAAACCCCTCAAACGTCCACCCAGGAAAAAGACTTTGGCAGCCCAACATCAAGCCATCCTCTGGTGGCACGTCCCGGATCAAGGAAACCGGAGCCCAATGCGTTCTCAATCAAGATGACTATACAGCAGTTCATCTCAACCATGTCTGGCCAACTCACGACCTCCAAGTATACCGGGGAGGTGGGGCGCAAGCGATTGGGGCGATGGTGTGTCCGTCTCTGCTTGTTGAAGTCCAGGGACCGGCCCCGCTCTCGACATAGCGGTTTCATTGTGAGCTGTAGCTGAAATCGTGCCCTCCTTCTGCTGAACACGCAATTGCTACGGCGACAGCCGCGCGAGCGCGGCGCTGTACTCCCTCCGCAGTTCTTGGACCTCGCTGTTCGCCATAGCTGTCGTCCTGTTGCCCCGGTCTTGTATCTCCAGCAAAAAGTTGGTGCAACTCTTGCTCGTCAACATAACCTTCGTCAGCTTCCAAAAGGAGAGTGGTGCACTTTATAGTGTCAATCCCTACGCGTTATATAGCGTACTGCTCTCCGCCGCTTTGCATCACCGCCCACAGGGTCCTGAAGCCGGGCATCGTCGCTGGCAGAGCTTTTCACACAAATCATCGCTGGCGAAACTGTTGAACTGTATGCGTTCACTCCATGCGGTTGGAAGGTCGAACGCTGCAAAGGCATGGCCACTGTGGGAAGTTCAAGGCGTCTACGCAACTGCCCCGATAGGACCTCGCAACAGAAACGGCTTGAGCCAATGGCTTTAGCCGTGGCCATATCACACTCTGTCTTGCATCTTTTCTGGCATCTTTCCGGCATTCCCTCTGACATTCTACCTGGCATCTGTTCTGACATCCTTCCTGGCAGCCTATCTGGCACCACTCTGACGCTTCATCTGACAGTCTCTCTGCCATAAACTCCTTCAAAACTCTATATCTGGCATTGTTCCTGGCATGCGTTCTGACATTCTATATGGAATGATGGCAGGTGGTCGCCTCCACGCGCGCCCAAACGAGCTGGAGCTCCCGATTGGGTTCAGGTCCGTGTGTTTCCCAAATAGAGCTGGAGCTCCCAAAAGTGTGTGGGCCCGTGTGTGCCCCATAGTGTTTGGCTCTCGTGTGCCCAGATCGAGCTGGAGAGGATGCGGAGGAGGCGGTCGGAGTTGCGCGTTTGATAAGAGCTAGAGACCCTCGCCTAGCAGGTGGGGAAAAAAATCAACAAGGAGGAACATGACACCTCTGATTGGATTCTCTACACTCTGTTAGAATTTTATCCGTCATTTTCTGTCTTTTCTTTCTGCACTGCACTCTTGCACCACGGTCCCACCTCTGACTCCTTGTGCAATGGGACAAACACATACAATTTTGTCCATTTCTATCCAGTTGTCACCGCGACCGTGACCAAAAGGAGTGATATCAGCGGCTCTTTTCCAACAGCGCCAAATGCGGCAGAATACGTCTCCCCGTACAACGTAGGGCGTTTAACGCGGGCGCGAGAACAATCGCATTGAGGCACCGATGGTACAAGATGTCGCGGAAGTGCTTGTGGTACTTCCCATGAACGGCATGATATTCTTCTGCACCACCTCGTGTACGAAAGAATGTAGCCAAGCGCTTTCAGAGTGAGAGGGTGGAGTCATGCAGAGTCCAATGCCAAAAACTTCATGAACATTTTGAGAAGCATCACCCTGTGCCATCGCCCTGTGCTGGTCAGGTCTTGGCCTGATCGTGGCCGGAACCACTGGACGCGGGACTAATTATAGTTAACCTATTTAACCTTTCTTTGTCCTGCTTAGCAAGGATCAAACCCTTTGAAAGAACATACGCAATCAGCTGATGGCCCAAGCCAAGCTACGACCAACACAACCAAAGCAGTAGCATCGATCAAATAGAAGAACCATGAGTCTGAGAAGGAATGAGAAGGACAGGGCCAGCAGCAACAAGCTGGTCAACGGGTAAACTCACGGTCAAGTGATAATAGGAATGCAATGCTGCAATACCATCCATTTGATACCTTCTCGGCATACATACCCACTCTCTCTCTCTCTCTCCCTGTCTCTGCAGATCCCAGATCACCTGCACGCTCCAGCAAGTCCTTGGCTCCAGCTGCATTGGGGTTCGAGAAGTGGTAGGCAATCAGTAAGGCTTGCTTCCGTAGCGCGTCCTTAGTACGTCTCGTTGGTTGGGTCTATGTCGGGCCTGTCTGAAGAGCAAAAGTATCCACGGATCAAAAACAACCAGCTCTTCCAGTAAAACAGTGATTGACACGTAAAGGGGACGCACATGTCATGTGTACATAAAAGTCACTACAAATACACATATTATATACAGTGAATGATTTATTCAGTTATGTCTTGACATTTCCGCCATTGGGGAAACGGAAAAACGCACGATTAATTAAAACGAGGGCGGATCTAAATTGCTGTGAAAACACTTGTGAGGTGACGATTTCTTCAGGTAGTTGTGAATAATTGCATAAACCTGCAAAGCCATGAATATGGCCCAGCAGAAAGCAATCGGCAATGGGACAAATACTCTAGAACGCGATCGGCGGCCCTTCATCTTATGAACAAGCGAAGCTCCTTGCATAAGAGTTGTCTTCAACTGCTATCAACTATTGTATGGCGAAGTGAGTGAAAAGTCAACGTTTACGGTCTGACAACACCCTCTCATCCTTATCAAGCTCTATTATTTGCGTCCATCTCTGTGGGATGATAGGTTCTCATGATGCAACATGATGTCAATACTTGTTCAAGTCAGTGTACCTTCGCATAGTTCCATCATCACTGAGGAAACAAACGCACACGACACATGGGATTGCCATGAAAGCATCACACAGGTGACCCCAGCATGCTGATGCATACGGCCAAAGGCACGTTGAATCTTTAAAATGAACTTGTGCAATACTGTGCATCTGCGAGCTGAGGAAGGTGTGTGAGCTCCAGGTGGCAGCTTCCCCCCCATATTGCTCAAGAGAGGCAATGTTTTTGCCTCTCCTGTAGCAATAATGTACAGTGGATTCTCTTTGGCCAGTTGCAAGTGCACTTGCCTGTGTTGCTTGTAGATTGCACCCTTCCCCGCTCCATCCCAAATCAAACTGTTGGCAATCAAGGCGGATAGGACTCAGTTCTACATGTTCTACTCAAACAAGACCTCCTTCTTCTTTTTGAGGTAGGACTGAAGGCTTTTGAGCTGGGATGCTCTGCAAGTGCTTTAGAAGTAACCTATTTATTTTCCAACTGCTGAGACTGGATGTGCAAAATCCATCGGGGCCGGTATGTTTTGTTCTTGGTGGCAGCATAGCTGGAACCTACGCATTCTCTAAAACCCTTGTCCAACTAAAAGTAGCAGGATGGAATCAACACATCATGGATATTCATTGGCTTTTATATACATGCTTTTATTAATGGAATGTAACATGAACGCGTATGGAATGATGATGGAATGATGAACAGAATGGGTCAACACCGGGAGACCTAGCTACCAGGGCTTTGATGGGCTACCAGGGTGCCCTGACCCACCAGCCGTGTATGTTTTCTCAAATCAAAATGCATCGCGGTCGTTGGACCCAAGAATCGGTGGGTCGGTAGTCGGTCCAGGCGGCTTGAAAGGCCTTCATGGCCTGAGTCAGTGAGGCGGGGCCCCGGTGTGCCGACGCCAAAGGCCCTTCTCGTGAGGAAATGAAAAGGGATCAATCAATGAGCACGAAAACAGTAAAATGATAGTGATAGTAAATCTGATAGTAAATGTTCCACATACGTTCACTGTGCATCCATGTGCATCCTGGATGTGACAGCTTCTTTTTGACAATGCAACAACTGCACAGTCTGGAGTGGCAGGGAAACGAAGTGATTAGAACCGGGCACCCACATGTGCATGAATAGATTTTGGATTAAATAAATCTGTAGTAATGCTTCAGTGACCACATCATCGACTTGATCGTTTCGGAATACATCAGGGATGCCTTTCTCTTCAAATGAAGCCATCACAGAAGCTCATGGCTTGGACCAGAGCCATGCATCCCTTCTCAGAAGCCATGCACCCGGACACCCGGATCCGCCTCGAGCAAGGTGGAGCTGATCGCCTCGGACTCCACGTAGCCGTTCTGCAAGCGCTGGAAATCCTCCACGTGTAGCGTGGGGCCAGGCGGATGTGATTGGTCAACACGGTGTTGTCCAGAACCCTAGAGAGGAAGGGCCTTCAAAAAACGCAGAGACCAAGCACCACGTGGTCGAACTCTTTGGTGATGTTCCTTCACTTTTACCATCTCGAAGCTGAGGTTCTACAAGCCCGAGAGGCCGTGAGGCACAGATTTTGTCCAGATATGTGCTCAAATGGTGAAGCCACGGCCACGGTTCTAAAACAATTCAGCCAACTCGTAGCCCTCCGGCCAAGCCAGCTGTCCTCATAGGTGAAAAGTTGGATCATCGTCTTTCGATAATGTTCTTAGTGGCGCCATCTGCTGGGTTGAGGCCAATAGGATGTGAGACAGTCGTGTTTTTGTTCACTGTTTTTGGTGAGGTGGGTGGGGCAAACTCCTCCCGGCATAGGAGAAAAGTAGCTCAACAAGTCTCAGTTGAAAACAAGGCAAAGCTTGGCAGTAGAATTGCCCCCCACAGAAAAACCTGGTACATGCCAATGCTGGTCTGCCATGTTGGTGTGGAAAAAACTGCCAGCATTCTGCATTCTCCTCCGTATCCAGAGGAATGATCAGCCAATCTTTGGCACCCTTTGACACAATCGTCTCAAAATCAAAAACGCAAATCAATTGCATGAAAGTCAGCCACCGCGCGAGCAATCGAGCGGCCGGGCTGGCCTATGGCAACCACCCAATGGTTCACACCAAAACAGCACATTCAGCCTCAATTGCCTTTTTGGGGTATGGCCGGTATGGCCTATGAATTGGCACTGGCCCTACCAAAGTTCGACTTTCCATAACAACCATACCACCCTGTCTTTCTTGTACGAAAACGGGGATGGTCAAGTGAAAACGCACTGGCTCTCATTACTCTCATTGAACCACCAGCAATCAGCAGGCTTTGAGGAAAACATCTCGAGAAACATCCCGCTGCTGGTGTGCGGCGGAAGTATTCAAGCACGAAAGCCATCTCTGTGAGGATGCACGCATCCTTGGCGGTGTGAAAGCAAAAAAGGCACGAGAATGCCCAAACCGCAGTCCACCAGTGCATGCATCTTTTGAGTTGAAGAGTTGGACACTTAGACGACAAAATAATGCATGAAATCCCGTGGTTGAAGAAGCATGCAACTGGAACACGATCATCGTCCTTCCTATGGGAAACTGAGCCAACCAAACAGCCATGTGCCGAACGAGGCAATTCATGTTCCGCATCCAAAGCCAGCCAGCGTTTCATCAAACGAGGACTGGACCCCCTGGCCCTAGTTGTCTCTGATGACATGGTTTCGCCATGTTCCGGGCGCCAAAACTTGATTCAAACGCCCATTTCAGGCCAGGTTGGTCAGGTTCTTGAAGAGGTGACCTCATTGCCAAACAATGACCAAATCCAGGGACCGCATGCACTGCTCCTTGAGAGACATGTGGACCCCCAAAAAAAGAGGAAACACCTCCCACCTGAAACCTTGACCATCCTTGGCCAACCGCCTGGCCTCTTGAAAAACACATGGAACGACGATGACATGAGCACAAACGACTCGATGCATGAACCCCACCCCATGCCAGGTGTCCGTGGTTGAAGACAATGTCACATTGAACTCCTTCTCCCATCCGCCTCCAACAAGGATGTGGTGAGGGGACGTGCCCTTCTGTCCTTGAATGTAACGTTGATTGTTGATGCATTAAGCCCCAGATGTTTGACCACTGCAATTGTCCGTCAAAAAAACGCATAATATATATATATGTGTGTGTGTAAATAGATTAAATATATATATATGACAATCCTTAGTGCGTTTGCTTCTGGCTAATTTCTTAGGGCTGGATGTTGTTTGTGCAAAGGGGTTGCCATATATGTATATATACACACACATGCACTCAAGAAATGTCGATATACATGGGCATGTGGTTCTAAAGCTACTGACTGGCAGCAAAACTTCATCCAGGAGTATTAAAACCTGAACCTGGCGGCAACAGCCTCCGCAGTGAAGATTCACAATTCAAGATTCCTGCGACAAGCAGGTGTTAATGCACCTGCCATTACGCCAATGAGTATGTCAATATGCCTTGGAACATGTCACGTCCGTACTTTTGTCAACTGCCTGTTTTGTAAGGGTGGGCTAGCATATATACATATAGGTAGATATACTTGATATATTGGGCATATCCAGTTGCCTGTAAGAGTGGACGATGATGGTCAGGTTGCAGGCCTTGTTCAAAAATAGTGATTTGCTTGTTTACTGGCTGTTGCAGGTAATAGGACGCCCCCCAATACGCCCAATATATCCAGTATATGTATATACATATATATATTGCACTATGAGTGCTGCTGTCCGGTGTTTAGGAGGTGTAACACGCGCCAAGAGAGATGTGCCCAACTTGAGGAAATCAATATCTGTTTACAAACGACTTTCCTGAGCTGTGAACTCACACCTATCTTTTGAGCATCCTCCAAGTCCAACGCCTAGAGTAATCCAAAAGGAACAAAAAGGTATGTCAATGTCCTGAGTCTTGAACGACATTCTTACTCTGAAAACGTTTGCAAGAACCTAGATCCGCTACTCAAAAAACATAAAACATCTGTTTAACACCAACGGCGTCATGCGAGCCCATCTTCTTGCCCACTGAGCTCTAGCGCACATTTTGCATGCATGCGCTGCTTTTGTGATGTGTTGGTGCTGGAAAACAATAAGGTGCGGCCTTAAGATCAGCATGATGCTCATCTTCGGAAACAAAAGTAAAGTAAACATGTCATGACTGCTAACTAGCTTGGCTTCAGAACAACTACTTTGAACCACCAACATCTGTGGTCGTCTATAGTGGATTTGCTATTGTTGCACCACACCCCAATGACGAACGGATGGTGTATGTAGATCGATATTTTTCATCGGAGCGACTACGCGTGTGCATGGTGTCGAACATACAAACTAAAACAACACTTGAGGCCGAGGGTAGGTGACGAAAGCTAGCAGGGGTGCATCCGGACTGGTGGGACATCAAGCGGAGTGAGGCAAATGCTCATGAGGTAAAACGTTGTGAACATGTAAGACACACAAACAGCAATGACACAGCCAACCTTAGAATTGAAGGCCCCGATAATTAAGGAAGCGTGGCTGGACTTTGCCACACTGTTCGATGCATCCGATGTGTTCACGAACCTGTGAGCTTGTTGAATCTGTTGCACCGTATGCCAAAACCTCCACGGAGGAGTTGAACCAGTGTGGATGCCATAAGAGGTGCCCAAAAGGTGTCCCAGAGGCAAAACAAAGCTGCTTGCATGATTTGTTTGGTTTCTTCTATCGATGTCGATGTCATGAACATGTGAGCTTGTTGAATCTGCTGTTGCATCGTCATGTATATGTAATGAGGGACTGAAGAAAAGCAACGCAGCATCATGAGCATCACGGGAAGTCACAAACCAGGCGTATCAGATACACCTGGTTTATGTATGTTTGTTTGAGCATCTTTGTCGAGTGAGTGTCAGCCATATGCACTGAGATGCCGAAGGAAGCTCAAAGGCACGTGTATTTGATACGCCTGGTTTCTGACTTCCCGTGATGCTCATCATTGAAGCCTTGAACCCTCGCGTAAATTTCATGTTTCATGCCCCCCCTTCCAAACTCAAACAGTGGCCTACTTCACCTGCCACCTAAACATAGCACTATAGCACGTACCGGAAGCGTCCCAGGGGGGAGTTGAACCCGCAGGGGGGGGGGGCCGTTCGTTGGCCCCCCCTACACGTGAAGTTTTCACGTGATTCATGATTCTCGAGGCTGCGAGCCCTGGACTTGCTAAAGCAAGAGCAACTCCAGCTAGCTGATGCTAGCTTTCGTGAATTGGAATCTGGAACTTTCTCGGACATCATTTATGAGATATAGTAGATAGTAGATGGTCAATGTTCAATCTGCCACTCTGCCACAGTGTCATGGTACAAACCCAATTAGCCGTCCATCCATTTCTTTGGTTCAACCCATCCAACCATTTCATCGATTTTTATGAGCCCCCTATCATTTCAAAGGGTTTGGAGTGCGCCCGCATATGAACGACGCTCTTCTGCACTTCATATCTTCATCAAATGTCTTGGAGGCTACACGACAGTGCATCTTCAGTAGGCCTCCTGCGCTCCCGCAAAGGATCCTCTTTTGGTCGGCCAATGAAAACTACTTGTTGTGGTGCTGCAAGTCCAACTAGATCAGGAGCATGGTCAACAAACAAATGTATGTACTGCAAATAGACATATTATAATTATAAACGTAGCGCACATGTATTGTGTTTATCTACGGTTGACATGACATGTACATAAGCGGGCTTCATGCCATCCATACTCACCGACATGCTACCTTCAATTCAGCACACAAAACACATGGTACTATATGGCACTGATTGTCCAAGGTGTCGCACGGTTGCCGCTTGGTCTTGCGTGATTTAAAGACGCCATGTGATCAAAATCGGCCAAAAAACAAGTCGGGGAAACAGCAAGCCTTGCTGTCGCAAGTTTTGCCCTGACGACCCGGGAACGGGGCACACGATTGATTTGCCTTGATGATTCAATCAACCTGCAAGAACTACAAATCCACAAGGTGAGTTTTGAATCAGGAAATCCTGCGAACACTTTCGTCTGCTGCGAACTGACCCCGCCTTCAAGAAGCAGCCAATGGTGCTGCTCAAAGTTCTCCACATAGTAGTAGAACCTGAGCGTGGTGAGGTGTTAGGTGTCATCTCCTCTTTGGGAACCCGGGAGGCGCATACACGGTGAAACAAACACAATCTGACCTTGGCATGGTGCTTGTGGCAGGACCTGCTTTGCACTCATATTTCGGTTTCTCGAGTAGGTTCTTCCTTTTCACACCATCTGGCTCTGAGCAAATTCTAACAACTGCCGCACTCCCCGGGTTTGAGTGCAGCTCCAATCCTACATATATTGGAGAGTGAGTGGGAAAAGTTTAAGACAAACCAAAGAATAAGGATATACCATTGCGCGTGTCACATGACATGATGGCCGCACAATGGGCACAGCAAACCAGAGGACAAGAAATCCATATGGAAAGGCCCATATGGAGGGCCTATATGTGGAGAGAAGAGGAGTCGGCAAATCCCGAGTACCTATTTAAAATGCCTCCCCGATTAAAAAACACCATGTCCGAAACCCTAAATACGGCTTATGTTTGTGTTTAAATTAACGCCCTTTCAAACCGCGACGAAACTACCAACATGGTCGATTTTTTGGTTAGTTTTTTTTCCTTATAGGTTCCCCCAAACTCCCTCAAAATAGGTCCCAATGCACCCTCAAAGTCGACCATGTTGCGTTGCTGACTCTCCGCTGGCTGTCCCTCCGCTGCCTGTCTGCCTCCCATTTCTGCTGTCAAACGGACTGTCTGGCTGTCTGTGTGGCTCTGGGCAGGTTGATATCCTCTTGCCCCAATCCTAGAAACATGCCGCCGTTATATATGTATTATAATATAAAATATATATATATACAAAATTATTGTAATTCACCGTGGCTATACTAAAGGGGGTCTTAAGAGGATATCACCCTGCCCTGCCTCTCTAGCTGCTTAGTCTGCCTGGCGCCTGACTCGACTGGCTGGCCACGACATCTGCATTTGGTCTGCAATTAATCAATGATTCAATGATTCAAGGATCCACTGACCCTATTTTGGACCACCCCGATTTCGGGCACCTCCTATTAAAAAAATGCGGCCGAGTTTTTCTTAATAGGGCGGGGGGGCCCTTGTGTTTTTAATAGAAGGGATTACTGAAAAAAGGATCACAAGCGATTGACTCAGTTTTTCTGCTGGCTCCGTGATCCTTCAGGACGCCAAGGCCCGATCTGATCTGAAATCTGCGCCCACGTGTAGCAAATCCGTGCAGCGGTGTAACAACCAAAAGAGTGTGACCCGGTGCCATCAGCTAACGAGAACTCTACAGCACAAAGCTGATCAAGTCAAATGGTGAAACCGGGACGAAAGGAAATAGATAAAATCAAACGGGAGCAAGGTTCAGCGCCCGTATAAGGCACGGATCGGGATCGCAGGGTAGTGCCGACAAATGCCCGGGAGAAGTTGTCACCATATGTCACCAAAAAAACGATCGTGACAAAGCAGCAGCTTGTCACACGGCAAGCATTGCAAGAAAGTAATGTCATGACCGCCTCTTGGCTCGCCAGACCTCTCTAAGCCTCTTAGTAAGAAGAACAACAAATCGGGACGGAAGGAAATACCTGAGATGGAAAAAGCAAATGCCCTCGCGGTAAGAACAACCTTGAAACCACGACAGGACAGCAGAGGGCATCACCATGAACAATCAGGAAGCAAATAGGGCGCAAAATGACAAAGAACCGGAGGCTCACTAAGTCAAGCACAAAACTGGCGCCCAAATGCAAACAGTTGCACATGATGTCTGATACCGTTGCACACGCGGTTTCTTGCATCAGGTCTATGACCGGCCCCGTGCAACAGACCTGGATTATTGTAAACTGTTGATGTATGACCCCTGCACAAGGATGACACACTTTTTGGAAGTGCTGTGAATGCTGCAGCCCCTTTTCCATGAGGTGTGAACACCTCATCAAGACCTCGAGCGGTCAACCCAAGACCGAAGGTCACCAGAAGAAAAGAAGTGCGTTTTACTCACGAGTTTCGTTGCGGTGCATGTTGAAACCAAGGGATCACGACCATGTCCCACCAACAGGTTATGAGCCAAACGTTTGATAGGTCTTCACCTCCACACCCGTCTATGCTCCGGCGCCGTCGAATCATGGAAAACGTGATGATGGCACCCTCGCTTCGCCGCCTCCTGGAGGAGTTCATGTCCAAAGGGCGGAACATCACCCAAGTCCAGATCTGCCATGCGCCTTCTTTCTCGTGACATGCCTGAGGCCACCGGCTTGCCGGCAGACCCGCCATTCCAAGAGCTCGGCGGATGTGTGATTTCACAGTTTGGATCGCCCTCTCAGCTCTTTTATTGGATTGTGAGGACACTCCCACAGTTGTAGTGCGAAGGATGTCCCTCGACCTGCACCACTGAGTGAGAGACTTTCCCCTAAATTCTCCCCCAAGATCAGTATGAAGTCTTGACACATGGTATTGAGCTGGATGTACATCTGTTGGAGGACATAGGAATGGCAAGCCGGAAGGTGATCAGGATTTTCTTTCTCCTCAATCACCTCGCCTTCTTCAGCTTCACTTCCTGGTTCTTCTTCTTCTTCTTCTATCCTACCTTCATCTTCCTCTTCATTTCCTTCTTTCGCTTCATCATCATCTTCTTCTTCATCAAGCACCACTTCCTCTGAGTCCGCCAATTCATCATCCGGGCGGAGGATGCTGCTCTTGAGGAAGAAGCCAAGTGTAGGTGCCCGCAAGGATGTACTTGGCCAAATCTCTTCCATCTTGAGCTACAGGGTACGGCCCTGCAGTATCGAAGGATAATGTGGCTGTCAGAGGATGGGTGACCTTTCTATGAGGTCGAGCCTTGGCGCTCTGTTCTTGGCACGTACGGCAGTCCCTCCGAAACGGCACATGACCATTCTGACAGTGCTGCTCCCATGTCATCTTCTGCAACTTCACATCGTCTTCAACCATTCCATTGAGGTGAAGAGCGCAGGCTTCAGCAATAGAGCGACAAAGTCCAGGGACCCAGCGCGCCAACGAAGAGGAAGGGATCTGACCTTCATTTCGACTTTTTGATCCAGGGTTCTTTCCTTTTGGTAAGCGGAGCTCAAAGTTCGCGGCCAAGGTGGTTGGCTTTACCGGAGCATCCTCTCTCCATGGTTCATAATCACCTTGGTTCATGTGGTACATTCGGAGATGAGCAGCGCTTTGGAGAGTCTTCCACTCCTCAGTGCTCCAAAACGACACACACGAGGGCATGTAGTGCTTCAGGTCGGATGGCTGCTCGAGCAAATCTTCCTGGCTTCAGGGCTTTCCTCCTTCAGGGACTCCACATAGCAATTTCCTCAGGCTGGTATGGACCGCAACAAGGTTCATGCCAGGATCTCACAGGCCGTGCGGGTACGGCAGTTTGGACCTCCGATCGCCGCTGCTAAATCTCCGTCCAGGGCGAGGCGGAGTAAACCCTTGTAGGCCTTCGAATCCAGGGATGCCATTTCATGATCTTCTCCCCGTTAGGTCCACCTCTAGTGTTCGGCTTCCCAAACCATGCTCTTCGAGGGCCTTCTGTAACGTGAAGCCTTCCCGTTTCCCGGCATAGAGGTGCCCTTCAAACGCTTTCGTTGATGCCGGTTGGCCGGAAGATCCTTCCACCCCCCCCGGTTGTTGGATCAAGGCCTCCTACCAAGGACTTCAACCATTCCACTTTCAGGGTGTGTTTCGCCAATGATATGAGCCTTTCTGTGCTCGCTCTTCATGTTCCTTGATGAGCTCGAGGGCGAGGGCTTTGGGAATTTGTGGACATCCTGCTTGAATGCTGATAGGCAGAGACCCTTTTGAGGGATGTGAGGCCTTCATTCCATATCCTCCTCCTCCTCCTGCCAACATTCCCAGAAGGACTATGGGCTCCACGGCCAAGTTTGTTGAGACCATCACCTCCGACTCCGTCATCAGTAGAGGCGTAGTGCGACCATCAGCCAAGGACACGGAGACCTTCTTAAGATTCTCAATGCTGTCCGTGGCAACAAGCGGCCTCAAAGGATGAGCTGCACCCGAATTCCAGAGGCCCCCATCTTAGCTTCACGGACCCGGGTCAGCTTCAAAGTCTTGAGACTTTTCTTGATTTCATCGAGTTGCTGGTGCAAGCGACTCAATTTGGCTTCTGAGGCCTCCTTATCCTTCATCGAGTTCAGCATTCGATTGGCCTCAGCGAGAAGTTCATCCATCTTTTCATCCTCTTGGCCCCCAATTCCTTTTCCTCCCTCCTCACCTTTTGCATCCTTCTCTTCTTCCTTTTCTTTCTTCACTTTCGGTGGTGAGTTTGGAGCACTTCCACCTGATGCATCCTTGGTGGGGCAGGTCGGAGCCAGGTGCTTCGTGGAGCCACATACATAGCACCTTTTGTGTTCATCCTTTTGATCATGCGACCATTTACAATCACGTCCACGTCGACATCCTGCATCGTTGAGGTAGAACTTGCAAGGTGCCTTGACCTCCATTTCCTTTATCTTTCCTTCAGTTCCTTTGTTCTTCTCTGCAGTTTCCTCAACCTTCTTTACTTTTTCCTTCTTCCTTTTTCATGGTCCCCCCCACTTCGCTTCTCGCCAAGGACAGCTGCTCAATCTCGGCAATGAGATGGGTCGCGAATTGGCTGACAGAGAGAGCATTGGGGTTGGTGTCCACAGTGGTGTCCACTTGGAGGGCGTTCCGAGCAAAGTGATACCCGGAAGCGGAGACTTTCCATTTCCATCCAAGATTCGCTTCGTCAAGCGATTCAGGCCTTTGACCAGTATGGAGGGGTCTGGCTCTGTGGCTCCAATTTCTTGAGCCCTTGCACGCCAGCGAAGCTGACGTCGAAGGCCCACAACTGTCTCATGTAGATTTGCAGGCTCCGTCGGATCTTCAAGGTTTCGTAGGAGCATCTGCTTCCCACTGATGCCACCTGGACAGTAGGTGACATGAAGATGGGCGAGGATCGCAAAGACCGACAATCTTTTCGTAGCCACCAGTTCATCTTTCTGAACTTCTGGAATTGCCTTGAGCAACAGGGTGGCCATACGCCGTTCAAGCTTCGCCCACTTTGG